TACCTGTACTATTCTGGGAATTTCTTTAACGGGTTTAGGGCCCTGGGGGGGGTTGACTATAAGTTATCAGGTTCCCTTAAAGGGTCCTTTAAGGGTTACTATAAGGGTATAATGAGCAAGAGTTCGGGGGTTTGCTGTAGGGGCCTACATAATTACCTACACTATGTTGAGGGTTCCTTCAAAGGGGTGCTGAAAACGGCTACTGTAAGGGAACTATAGAATCTATAGGGTGCCATACTTTACAGGGCCTACATAAGTAACTCCACTGTTTTGGGGGGTTCCTTATAATAGTTATAGTATAATGGGCCAGAAAGTTACCCTATTCTCATGATTAAGGCACCGATATTAGGGCTCTTGACTTGAGGGAAGCTGGCTTTTGTTGGGGTGTATGTAGATTTCAGCAGTTCTGATAAGGGGCTGTATAGAGCTCCTATGCAATGTGACTTTACGGGTTTGGGACATACTTGGGCTTAGGGTTCTGGGTCTGGACTTCGGTTTAACTATAGTTCAGGGTTTAGGGTACAGTTTAGGCTTTAGGGGGTAGTTGAGGCTGAGGGCTTAATGCTTAGGGCTTCTCTGGGTGAGCTGGACAGAGGACCTTGCTGAAAGTGACCTGAACATAAGATACAACTTCGAGAGCTCGGTTTAAACATTAACTTGTTTGGCGCCTGATCGCATTATGTTGCGGCAGATGCCAGAAAATGTTTGACCCAAGATAGAATTACACTTAAGTCTCCGAAGCTGTTGTAGAGGCCAGAAGGTGAAACATGAACAAGGGCTGACTGGTGTCTAGTTTCCGACGTTTCCTTGCTTGCGGGCTGCGAGACTATGAAATGCCCTAGCTTCCTGGCTTCCGCTGTAAATCCCGAAGCGTGAATCCCAAAATAGCAGGTTGAGGCTTGAGGGTTGAGAAATGCTGCCTGCAGGTTTCGATCGCTTCCGAACCAGCGTCAACGCGGCGCTGCCTGGAGAAGCAGCCGCTCCACGTGGTTTAAGGTTCAGGGTTGAGGGTATTAGGTCTAAGAATCAAAAACTGAGCTTGCTGGGTTCAATTTGTCAAGTCCCCTATAGTAGAAGCCAGAAAGTTGGAACATGGCTTTAGGAGGATTAGTGCTAGGATCCCTTCTACTTGACCCTAAGGGCATGGGGATAATGATGTTCCAACTTTGTGGCTTCTACTATAACCCTACAAGCCGCGAGCCGCAACACCCAAACTGCTGGTCGTCGACATCGTCGCGAAACGTCGTTGTAGGAGCAGTCGTAATCGCAGCAGCAGTACTGAGGGCCGATACGCCGCTTGCAGCAGGTGCTCTTTTGCACGGCCTTTCTTCCCACGTCAAGGCTCAGAGGACTCAGCAAGTAGGTATACTAATTAGCTGATGTGGCCGCATTTATACTTAATTGTACCACAATGCAAGACTCATTAGTCACTAGTTATAACAACAAAGGTGATCAGAGCAACATTTACAAAGTCACATGATTTGATCTATTAGAAGCCGGATTCAGAGCTAAACCCTGAACCCTGGCGTGAGGTGCCGGATTCAGAGCCTTGGTTTCGGGATTCCCTGCTCTCAGGAACGGCCACCGCTGGTGCAGCTCGGCACGACGCCAGACAAGTCTGTTTTCAGACTTCCCGTGATGAGTTTAGTGCGGTGCGTGAGGAATAGCGGTTCGCGACTGTAAAAATGCGACATTGGAAGATCAAGAAGACATGGCTAAGGCCTTTCTTGTCAGTGCCCTCACATGAAGTTCACTTATGTAAGGTATAGAGCCGGTTCCAATCATTCAGGCCTCTATACTGTACTGTAGTAACTGTAGGGGTTTGATCTTCTCTGGCTGAGACTTGCCGATTTTCTTGCAGGTTGTCTACTAAGGTGTGTAGGCTTTTGAAACGGCTTGTGTACTATGCTTAGCCCTATTGGGCTTAATGGGATAGGATCTTATCTGCTGCTACTTTCAGAGAATGTAGTAAGTTTTAACAGCACACCCCCCACGAGGCTTCTAAGCCGTCAGCAAGACAGAAGCGTAAAGGTTAAGCCTTTCATGCGACTTCCAGATCATGTCTTTGCACTGTGTCGATCATCTTCAATCATGCTGAGAGGAATGGGGATGCAGGCACTCAAGCTGAATAATCACAAGAGGCTTAGCCGGAGGCTCCATAGTAGTTCTTTTTTGGGGTTACCTTATAGGATTCTACATATGAACCCCAAAAAAGGAACTCCTTTGGAGCCTTAGGGTAGCCGGAGAGACGGACGGCATCTGCCTTGTGCAGCATACTTTGCTTTTGGCGACTTCTCACCGCCGTTTTCCTTGGGGTAATAAATCTGCTCACTGAAGTCCTATGCCCTGAGTTGCTATCGAGCCCCAATAAGTTGGTGTCGGTCCAGATACTCTAGGTTTGGTGTTCAGGGTCTGTGTGGTAGCTTTGTGTGTAGCGTTCTGCGAAGTACCGGCGATGTCGAGGCTTCCGGTACCGTTGGTCCTTGTGTCCTGCGACACCGTGCAGGACATCTGGGGGATGAGGGCCAACAAAAACACCAGACTTCTCAAAGGGTCCAAGTAATAGTATAGTATAAGAATGTGGGCCCAAGTATCTACTAACTGTTACTATACAGGTGCTTGGACTGTTTGCGCTAAACTATTGACGGCACTTTTATGTGGTCCGGTGTGCACATCACCATAAGACCCTTGACCACAGGAAGCCGACAGTTCTCCGCACACCCGGAAAGCATAGACGTTTGGGCGCTTTTTGGGGGCTCAGATGCCGGGAAGTGGGTCGGCGGCTTCAGGCAACTGGCCGAGGGTTTGACACACGACCAAGAGATCGGGTCGAGGATCTTAGGGGCTCGGTGTCAATCCCGGTGATTGCAGTTAGTAAGTAACTAGAAGAGGAAGTAAGCTTCGGGTGCTTTCATCTACATCGACTATAGTCCCTAAGGCCTAGGTAGACTATCTTTAGTTCTCCTAGCGAGGTGGATTAGCAAGGTTTTGTTTTCGGACGAACCCCTGCAACACGCACCGATAGAGCCCCAAGGCTTGAAATCCACATCCGAGTTTGCAAGACAATATAGCGACAAACACAGCTAGCAACCGATCATCCTCTGATCAGTACAGTAGATGCCTACACCCTATCTACGCCGTCTAGTTAAGCATATGGGAGTTTCCGAAAATAGGGGACCTTAATATATAGTACCCTAAATAGTAGAATCCTTATTATAAGGAGCACAAAAGAAGGTACCCCCTATTTTCGGAAACTCCCATATGGACTCTTGACCTGACTGTTAGATTGTTCGATAGCAAGCTGATACGAAACGGACGCTAAACCCTTAGACCTCTCAGGGTATAGCGGCTCGCTTTTGAGCCCATACGGTTGATGATATAAATCCTGCATGACCTTAAGGACCCTAAACTATGGGAATTATGGTATATTCCTTATTATGGGTCATGCAGGATTTATACCATCAACAGTAGTTCTCGAGAGTCAGAGGGTGTAAGGTTTGGGTCGGCAGTCGCAGGGGTGTCATTGGGGTGAGTAGTTTGCGGGTTTTGGATTGACGGTTCGGGTTTTGACGTTTGGATTACATGTTGTACGGTCATAGGAGTGTGCATGGGCCTACCGTTCAGTTGAGAGTTGCAGTCCCTGGACCTAACTCATAGTAGGAAGCCTTCCTGAGCCAAAGCTCGATTACATCACACCATATCACACCTGTTCATATGCGCACACACATAGTCGGAAAAAATCCACAGAGTTCCAGAACACCGCAGCTTGCTGCCAATGCGGACGGTAAGGCTGAGCACCGGAGTATCCGCCATGTCCAGTTGGTGAGGATCCGGTAGCCGTAGACTTAGAATCCAAGAAAGACATGTTCTTGATGAAAGAAATGTTGAACGATACATCTCGCCGCTCCTTCCAGGTGGACGGACTTTGTGGCCCTAGCGACTCAGTAATAGCGCGAGGTGCAATAGCACACCTTGTCAGGCAGCTGCAAGTAAGTAGCAACAGTTGTGGAGCATGTCATACCATCGTAGTATCGGATGGTAATTATCGCGACCCATCGCAGTGTAGAACAGAGGAACTGCCCGTTGCAGCTGCCCACAGGCACTGGACTATCGCGACGCTCCGGCCCCAATTTTTAAAGCCGTCGGCCATGGACATCGAGTCAGCAAACGGCGCTTCCTTGCTGGCGATGGCATCGGGAGAGGCTGCCAGAGGGCACAGACAGGGGAGTCCGGACGACGTCGCATCACTCTTCGGGCCGGCAGAATTCATATGGAATGGCAGGAATTGCTTTGGGAGCGAGGTCCATGTGACTAGGATATCCCTGAACATGCTTTTCAGTATTTGCTCACTATCGTTCATCTTAAATAATGACGGGGTTGCCCCATGCATCACATAAAACGCATGCAGCAGAGCAGAGTAGCCGCCCATCATATAGGCCGCTATGAGCCTAGCAGGACTGGGCACTCTGGGAGGTCAGCCTATCACATGGGTGTTGGTGCCCATAGGGTCCTAAACCCTACAACCCCGAACTTCACAACCCAGATAATGCAGGGATGGATGACAGGGACCTAAATAAAAACCAGTGCTATTTGGGGGTTCCTTATTATAATTGGAATATCATGGGCCCACGAAACTAAGGCCCCCATAGTAAGGTCAAAGTGCTGCTCGGTGATGAGGAGGAAGTCCGAAGGTTGCTGCGTGAAGGTCTTGCGCATGTCGACGATCGCTTCGGCTATGCGGCGCTGGAGAACGGAAAGAAGCAGATTGTGACTGGATTCGCAGTTTGTGGTGCTGGGTTTGCAAGCTTTGAGTTTGAGGGGGTCTTGGGCTTGCGAGTGTCGGCAGGCCAGCTGTAGATATACTTTGCATGTATTCAATCTCTTCATAGCTTTGCCAAAACGAACCGCTTGCGGTGTTGGAGTCCAGGGAACCCAGCATGTAGGTCACTGGCTTGCCCGTACACCTGGCGGCAAGTCGTGGGCACCTTTCACTGGTAGAGATGCTCCTGGATGAAGGCGCCAGCATTGAGGGAATTACTCTCGAGGATGGTGTTGGCAACCACAGTGTTCTTCATACAGCCGTGTTGAAGGAGGGCAGTGGTGGGGGAGTCGACATGATCAAGCTCCTTTGCCAACGGGGAGCAGATATCGCGCGCCTGACATCTAGCAGACATTCCTGTTTGCACTTGGCTTTTCAGACGGGGAATTGCACTACCATCCGTGAAGTCCAGAAGCAGATGAAGATTAGCGGCCAGGACTTGAATGACTTGCTCTCCTATGAGGACGACTTCACCTCGACGGAGCGAGTGGAGACTCCGTTGGAGTTGGGCATCAAGCTCGGACGGTTGCATAAGGAACCTGGGCCGTGGATAACTTTGCTCTTGCATGCTTTCGGGTCCTGCTTCCGCTTTGTAAGCAAGATCTACATAGATGCATTACTATACTGTGCTGAAGATTCTGCAACTAAGAGGGCCTGTGATAACGCGAAGGTTCCTGAAATACACGGATTTATGATAGTACAGGTTCTCATCGTATACCATGTATGGTATGTTGGGCGTTTGACTGGACATCTCTGGACAATTGAAGAGCCTAGGAAGGTCTCGCCTTGCTTGCCCCCGTCCACCTCAGCAGCCTGAGGGTCTTCATCCACCACGCTCCCGAGTGCATCCCAATATTCATGCATCGTCTCACGTCTCAACGTGACTCTGGCGAAGACCTGGTTGAAGACCTTGTCGACAACTTGCCACCTGGCGACATTGCCACCATGATCCTGCACTACCCAGAGGCGGCTTCAGCGCTATTCAACACATTTACAACCAGTCCTCAGGTGAGCGACGAGAGGTTTCACCCGCTGCCGCGCCGGATGTCCTTTGCGAAACGTTCCACTTTGACAAGGCTTTTGACTTGGTGTTGCGGCATTCCTCCCTTCGTTTGCTTCTATACGGATGACTCTGCATGGCGTTTTGATGATGCGCGCTTTGAAGCCCCGGCATGGCATCAGCAGATCACTGACAACAAGCGTGCACCGTATTGTGACGCCCAAATCAAGGTTTGTCGCTTTCCAAACATCATCTCACCAAAGGTATTCGCCCCGCTTGTTCGGAGTGCAGAACAAGCCCTATTTCTTCATCAGACAATGCCAATCCGCGCTGCAGTGTCGTACACTTTCTGGAATGGCGCCATCTGGATGGAAGGCACCCAGTTCCTGCTCGCATTCTGGGGATTGGTCCTTCTGATCATGCAGACCCTCCTCGAGCACGAAGGGGCCGTAGGAAAAGACGCCGCGTATTTTGATTCGCAGATGAACGAAGGAGTATTTGACCCCAGTTTCGTGGCCGAGAGCCAGAGGAACGGAATTGATGCAGACTGGATCATTGCAAAAGGCATCGTCGACCTAATGTTAGAGCTCGCGCAGGTGTGGGGGTGCAAATTGGCAGGACAGCAGAGATCAAGCACGCACCCAAGTGTAAGCATTGTTCTATGTTCTACGCGTGCTTTTCTTTCGCTGCTTGATGAACAGGCGACACACACAGGGATATGACATAGAAAGTGCTCATCTCCGTTCTCTTGTCCTGCAGGAGAGTTGCGCAGCTATGCCAACTTCGGCAACGCGTGGGATTTGATGCGCAGCATCATTCCGGTCATGCTGCTGTTTTTTCACGAAAGCCGCTGGCTGCATCTCTTTGTTGTGCTGATCTATTGGGCGCGGCTCATGGAGGGTTTCTTGGTCCTTCATGGAAATCCTTCGAGCTGCCTTTGAAGGAAAAGATGTCACGGGAAAGTTTATCAACCCATCAAGACTTTAACAAGACCTTCATGCAGCAATAGTCCAGGTTTGAGCCTCTCCGAGACAATGGGACACGCGTTGGTGCCACTGCAGAGGCTCGCCAAGGGCTTGTTGCCTGCGATGATCTTCAGCATGCTTTCTTTCGGCGCGCTGACTCATGCCATGTACGCTGTGCAGCTAGAAGCGGTGAGACTATGGCCGAACACACTTTTCCTTACTTTCAGCCGATTCATAGCACAGAGCCTGCCAGAAGACTCTCCTAGCGACACTCTCGAGCTGTTAGTCCTGAGCGGGGGGACACTCTTCTTTTCCGTCTTTGTTCTCAACATCTTCGTGGGCGTCATCAATGAGCTCTATGAGCAAGAGAATGCTTGTGCTGAACTGAGCTTCGCCAACCTCAGAGCCTCCTCATGCTTGACGTTCTTATTCCGAGTTCGCGTGCTGCCCTGCGTTTTTGTTGACCGCACAACCGGTGTAGGTGTGGCATGTGGGTGCATGGTTTTGCTCTTGGTCATGCAGGTGCTGGCACTGGCCAGGGGAGTGCACTTGCCGGGTAATTGGCAGTTCGTCGCCACGCTAGCCTGTCAGCTGATTCTTTCCATAGCTTCACTGCAGTGCAAAGAAAGTGCGGATGATTGGCCCACCTTCGACGTCTTCAGACAGCAGCGTCCCCAAGGCGGCTACAGCCCGGCAGGCAGCCAAGGAGCTGAGCTTGGCAGGAGGAAACTTGACTGCCTTTGGCCCAGGTCTACGCTCAGGAGTCAACGGATCAAGTACTTGCCAGGGGTGCTGTAGTAATCTTATTGTAGATAGTACTTTACTATGACTATTATGTAGCATTTTATATGTTTTTTAACATGCCTATTGAACTCCAGCCCTTGAAGCACTACCCGATTACAACATGAACTCCGTAACAAGTCAGCCAAGGAAATACATCCGGGTTGTGCCAGCCTCGTGGGGAGCACCTCCTGAAATCCAGGGCCGTTTCAGAGCCAGAAACTCATGGGTTCTTGGAAACGATGTTTGAATTTTGTTTTCCCTTACACTCTAAGGGTCCAGGTATCTCCTTAGGAGGGTCCGGAATCTCCTAGGGAGAGCCCTTGGGTCTCGTTGGGGCTTTAGGAATCCTACATTGTGAGGTTCCCCAAAGAGTTCCCTTAGGGCAGTGAACCCCAGAAAGTTGGAACATAGGTTTAGGACCGATTGGTGTTAGTATCCCCTACAACTGACTTCAAGGGCACCAGGATATCGATGTTCCAACTTTCTGGCTTTTACTGCAGCCCTTCTGCATTCTACACCCTAAACCTAAAACTCCTAGCCTTTCTCGGTTCTCAAGCACATCAGAGGAACCCGTTTCACATCGGTCACGATCACCCGTCTCGGATGGAACGCCTGATGCCCTGGCTGACATGCTTGATGAGAAGCTTGCCACGGCACAACAAGAATTTCTACTTTCCTTGACGGTCCATCGTCATGTATATGTTCAAAAGATAAATCTACGAGCTGTCAATTTTGGGTGATGAGTTCGATTGAAGACGAATCTGTGAATGTGTTGTTTGTGGCATCTCGGGAGATTTAGGAAGCTGCACGAGCACTTTCTCATGATCCGGGAGGCCCTTCGCGAAGAGATCCGCGGGGCTTCCAGACCTACGCTCCTGGGACAGCGCTGCCCGAAAGATTTCTGACTGAACCGTTTCAGTCTACCTGATGTCCTTCTGTTTTTAATCGCATCCGCTACGGTTTTGTTATGGCCGAGACCTGCACAAGTCATGAAGCCTGGGCCTGAATTCCTTCCGATGCTGCTACATGTGAAGTTGCCGGTGCAAGAGCCGCGGCAGAAGCAGTTGGGTCGGTGCGAGAATGAATTTCGGAACAGGTCGCGTGAATGCTGTCGTACTTCTTGTTGGCCCTGCAGTGAAGGATTACCACCAGGCTGCAGTGGCTGTGCGCAGCTGCGTCGGCACCTCAAAGAAGTAGAGCAACACAGCTGTTACACAAGAACAGAAAGTCACTCAGCAGCAACGCTGACATAAGTTGGCGGCAGATAGTCGCAACATTGGATAAAGGCAGTAATAACTAGAGATAAAGCATTCCCTAAGGCATCATAGAGATGGATACGAGCAAGCAGCCTTACTGGTCCGGTTGTTGATCGGAGGGTTAGATTCGTCGCCCAAGCTGCTTGACTGGAAGTGTGGGGCTGGTGGCCCTACTGGTAGTCGTAGTTTAGCGGTAGCCGCAGCTGGAGCAGCCTCTGTGGTCGTCGTTGTAGTCGCTATCAGTTGCAGCAGCAGCAGCAGCAGCAGCAGCAGCAGCAGAGGAACATTATCACAGCCTTCGCAAGGCTCCAGCCAACATATGAGTCGAACAATGCTGGGCGATGAGAAGTGAAGCCGGTGCTCGAAGATCACTTAAACCCAGAGCCTTACAATTTCGATTAGGCCCCGGGTTTAGAACGTCGGGTAGAGTTCGTCGCTCAGTGAATTCAGGGTCAAGTGCTGCAGCTAGGGATATGAAGCTCCGATGCGCTCTCAGGTCGACCTCTTGATTGCTAAACCAGAAATCCGCACATTTAAGACCCTCAAGGTCCTCACACCCCGAATTCCGGCAGGCCTAATGTAGTGGCCTTCAAATTAGAATCGGGTTTGGGGTATATTAGACTATACCTGTAATGAGGAACCCCCGCAACCCTATTCTAGTTGTTAAGGCCCTTACAGGAACCCCAAAGCCCTGAAGCCTGAACGGGTGTTGAGCTGTGCGGGATCTCTGCAGGAGGGGGAGAGGTCATCAGAAAACAGAGAGCACACTTTTGCAAGGGGCCTTAGGTAACGGTTTTAGGGTTTAGGGGTTTAGGGTGTAGCAGAATGGGATGTACGTAGGGTTTCTATAGTGGGAAGTGGTAGGTATTCCCCATAGTAGGATCCTGTTTGCAAATGTTGAGGTGCGGGGGTGCGCCCTGCTGCTCAACCAACGCAGCTTGGTGTCTTGTCTGCAGCGTCCGGCTTCGGGTGCCTTAAAAGCCTAAAAAAATCCTTGAACCCTCAACCCTAAACCCCTAATTAAACCCTAAACCGTGTACCCTAACCCCTATACCTTAAACCCTAAATCCTTAAAAGTCCTAAACCCTAATTAAACCCTTCATGGTTTGATAGAGGATTCGGTTTCGGACTGCAGCCGCTGTGAGGCTCCAAATCTGTTTCCGCTGAGTTGAGGGTTTGAGGATCGGTTCAGAGACCATTACTTTGTCATAGTTGAGTAACATTTTGGATTTTTATGGGTACTTAAAACCCAATAAGCAATAAAAATGTACACTGGTTTAATCCTATCCCGACCGTGAACTAGATTACAGGGTTTAGGCTTTAGGGTGTATACTAGGCTTTTAGAGTGCCTAGTGGTCATGTGGCTCCTGACGAGTTACCCGCTTCTCAGAAGCCGCTTCTCTCTACTTGCCTGCAGACCCTCTCTACAGGAAGGGGCCCAAGTGGAAGCCCTGAGCTCTGAGTTATACAGTAAACCCCATAAAGTTGGAGACTGGGTTGAGGCCAAATAGTGCTGGGATTCCCTATACATTACTCTTATGGATGGAGGCTCTGGGGTTTCCAACTTTTGTCCTTCTACTATAAGTTATGGGTTACGGACCCCAATTCACGGCTCAGGGTGTAAGCCCCAAGTGCAAACTTAATGCTGCACAGAAACCCTAAGCCCATCCTAAGCCCAAACGCTAGGATATGCCATTTTGTGATTCATGGATCTGCAATCCTCATCGCTTGAATCTCCTCCCGAAGGTTGCGTACGCAGATCGGCACATTGTTGCTTTGGTCCAGCACCTCTTCTACGAGGCCTTCCTGGGTGCCGTCATTCTGGTTGATGCTGGCCCTGAACCCTGAACCCTACCTTAAGCCGGAATATCCTACCTTGTTAAGGACTTTTTATAAGGCAATCATAGTAAGGAACCCTAAAGAGGTAGGTTATTCCGGCTTAAGGTAAGACCTAAAGCCTGAAAACGGTCTGGGGTTTAGAGTCAAACGTACTTGGAGGTTCAGGGGTAGTTATAAGTAGGGTTATAAGTCCCCTAATGTGGGTTAGAAGTATAGTTACCCTACTTATAACCTTACTTATAACTACCCATGAACCTCCAAGTAGGGAGCTTAAAGATGCACCACATTTGCCTTGCGACCCATGGACTCAGTGCAGGGTTCTAGGGCCCCAGCACATCCCGAAACTCTTGCCGGTGGTTATAGTAGGGAATGGAGGAATGGGGTACAATTACAACTACTATTACTACCATTCTTCCATTCCCTACTAACCAAAGGTAAGAACTAGGGTGCCGACGGGCTCGGATTGCATCAACTCTAGTACAATCCGTACGTATTTTTGGGCTGGGACTCTGGGTAGGCCTAGTGTTTCGGCTCTGGGTTGCGAGTTCTTTGACGGTGCAGGCTGGTTGCTTCATGGCTTTATCTACATGTCCCTTAACGCCGTAACCCCAGACCGGAGACAACCCTGCAAGGAACCTCTGCAAAGCCAAAAAAATGATCCGCTCCACAAGCTCATTTCAACCGAAAGGCCGAAACCCTATATTGCCCTAAAAGAGGGGCCTCAATAACTACCGATACTATCCCGGGGGTTCCTTATTCCGGAACTATAGGATAATAGACCCTAAAACCCTCTTCCAATTTTTAAAAGCCTCTACACCAAACCTCATGAAGCCCCCAAGGCCTGATCCTTAAACCCAGAAAAAACATATGTATATTAGGGACCCGCAAAGGACATAAGCAGCATTTATATGGGACATCCAGGGCCTGATTTTTGCTTATGTGCTTTTTGGGGGCCCAAACGTAACCCCAGAGGAGCCCCATCTGAGCCAGGTCCTGCCTCTGCCGCAACCGCCCTCCAGGGGCATGAGCAGCTGGGCCCGAATTTCGAGACGACGACGGCGGTTGAGGGCTTAGGGTTTGGGGGTTTAGGGTTTAGGGGTTTAGGGTATGGGTTGACGGTTTAGGGTTTGGGTTGAGGGTTTAGGGTTTGGGGGTTTAGGGTTTAGGGGTTTAGGGGTTTAGGGTTTAGGGTTGAGAGTTTAGGGTTTCGCTTGAGGGTTTAGGGTTTGGGGTTGAGGGTTTAGGGTGTAGGGTTGTGGATTCGGGATGTGTAGGGTTTACTTTAGCCAAACTTGCCTACTTCTGACGGACTTGCAGAAGGAAATCATAATAAGGAACCCTAAAAAGGTCGGGTAGTTTATTGTCGGATTCGGGATGCATAGGATTTATCCTAAACCCAAACCTGTTGAGACTTCAACCCTAGTGTTTAGGCTTCAGATATTTTTTGGTAACCAAACCTCCTGCGGTTCGTTTGGCCTTGCTGTTCTTCAGGCCCCTCTATGCTCGGGCTTGGGTAGAGGACCGGCTAGAGAGTTTATGGTCTAGGGCTGTCTACAGGGTGTGTCCTATGGTAAAAGGAGGGACCCTTAACAAGGACCCCTAGGTATATACCCTTAATATAGATATTGTATACTCATTGTATAGCCCATTATAGGGTAGGGGTCCCCATTAAGGGTCCCTCCTTTTCCCTTTGATATAGGGTGTGCGCTGTAGCGTTTCTCTACCAGCCAAGGGTTTCGGCATGTGGATGCTGCAGGAGTTAGACTGGGTTTGCATTGCTCTGGATATGCTTCCCTACCCTTTAGTGGGCTATATAATGGGTATATAATAGCTATATTAAGGGTATATACCAAGGGGCCCCTATTAAGGGTCCCTCCTTTTACCCTTGGAATATGCCATGCCTCTCCTTTAATTCGGGTT